TAATGATGTTGACTAGACATGTCACCAGAGCTATTACATTTCAATGATACCTGTACACATTTATTATTAGATTTTGTTTTAACCCTTAGATGATTGTTGTGATGCTTTGTGGTCATTAAACTAACAAACGATTACAAATATTTCAAAGTGGTCATTTTAACATGTTGATGGTGTCATTGTTTATCCCTGTTCCTATGGTAATGACACCACTTGATACCTCCACATCATACCTCATCTTAAAGTAGACATAATAAGCTTTCAAATGATGTAATATGTGTGTGTGTTTAGAGAGGGTACATTAAGTCGACCAAATCAGCAATGTCTGCCACTCACCTAAACTTATCCGCTAAGACACTGATCCTGAAATTGGATATGCACAGGTAGACGCATGGGGGGCTCCACACAGCTACAAGTGTCTGTCTGTGTAGATCCAATTTCAGGATGAGGGACTGAGTAGTGACACAGCAAGGTCAAACAAAGGAGAAGACAATGAGGAGGAGATATCCTATCTCCTAGAACTGGAAGGGACCTTGAAAGGTCATCGAGTCCAGCCCCCTGCCTTCACTAGCAGGACCAAGTACTGATTTTGCCCCAGATCCCTAAGTGGCCCCCTCAAGGATTGAACTCACAACCCTGGGTTTAGCAGGCTGATGCTCAAACCACTGAGCTATCCCTCATATGACAAGGGTTACAAAAGATAATGAGACCTCTAGTCTAATACAAACAGGATGGGACTTGATGGGAGGGGAAGGAGAGGACAAAGAGATAGGATATACACTTCCCTATTATGAAAATATAAAAAGCTCAAATATGAATTCTTAAAAGAAAAAATCTCATCAGCAAAGGTGATGCAAATCCCATCACTTGTGAAATTTAAAGCATAACGGGAAATCTTAGAGAATATTCAGTAGGGAAAAAATCCTGTATTGGCCACAGGCCAGACTCGATTACCCAACAGGCCAGACTACAATGAATTTGTGAAACAGAATGAAATTGTGTAGGTATATGAGTCACAAGCTCTGCTCAAGTAACCAGCATGTTATGTTAGAACACAACACATGTAGGTATTTATATTGCTCCCCTCACAGCAGCATCTGGGTGCTGTCAGAATAATGTAAAGCAAAGTATAATGCTACTCTAGACAGTACAGAACAGGTTACATTGTTAACATTTAATTTTAAAAATACCATCACATCATCATCCACACTTTAAAAACTTACATTCCCAAAAGCTCCTCATGCTTTTTGTTATCCTCTCCCCAGACCTCAATGTCCAACATATCCTTCCTGTCAGAGAAGTAGTGAAAATCAAACTGTTCCCTCCACTGAGGATTTGCACTCTTACACAGTGTCTAGAAAACATGCAGTTATAATATTTACTTTTCTTAAATGGCACTTATTTCCACAGTTAGGTATACATCAATTTCATCTACAAGAGCAAGGCCAGATGTTTGAGCATCAAGTACCAAGAGGAGCATCCCCAGCAAGGCTCTGCAGCTATCATGCAGATCCACATTTCTCTTAAAAGTGTTTTCTTCCCCATAATGATAAATAGAAAAGCATAATGTGACTGTGTGGCGGGAGAAATGCTCATATAGGAAAGTGGAACCAACATCTCCAGTTTAAATAGACCACAGGCCTGGATCAATGTCACTTAACTTGGCATAAATCAGGGGCAAGCCCTTGGAAGTCAGTGAGGTTGAACAGGTTTGAATGAGATCAGAATCAGGTCCCAGGTTTTCATTCTTTTATGTTAAAATAAACCTTAGCAGAGGCGGGAATGAGCAGTTAGGACCTCATCTTGCAAATATTTATACACACAAGTAACTTTATGCATGCAAATAGTTCCATTAAGTTCAGTGAGACTATTCATGTGCATAAATTTACTCAGGAAAATGAGTGTATGCGGGATGAGGACCTTAATATCTCTTGCAATACACAATATATTAGATTAGGTTCGGCCGATCGCGGCTCCCACTGGCCGCAGTTCACCACTCCAGGCCAGTGGGGGCTGCTGGAAGCGGCACGGGCTGAGGGATGTGCTGGCCACCGCTTCCCGCAGCCCCCATTGGCCTGGGATGCTGAACCGCAGCCAGTGGGAGCCACGATCAGCCGAACCTGCGGACGCGGCCGGTAAACAAACCGGACCGGCGCGCCAGGGGGCTTACTCTGGTGGGCTGCGTGCCAAAGGTTGCTGATCCCTGTATTAGATTATATTGGAAGTACACCAGCTGTTCTTCTATATGTCATTGACCATTACAAGAGACAGGATATTGGATTACCTGCACCACTGCTATGGTCTCCCTCCTCTTGTCTGCTTTTGTGTGATGTGTGATTGACTAAGGGTAAATTAAATAATCCCCATAAAAGGATGTGAAACATTTTCAATTTTAATATTTATTATTGCATTAAAGGTAAACAGAAAAGTGCATCTTAGATGGAGATATAGCATCTTAACTATAAGGATTAACTAATCTGTTTATTACTTTTTTAAAACTACTTTTTCTAATGAAATAGTGTCATGTTCTGTTCCTCTTTGGTTAGAATTATTTATATATTTTTGAAAAACAACCACAGGATGATCACATTTTGTGGAATCTCTGTAGTCAGATCATCAGGGCTTGTTTCTAGAATTATCAGGTCCTGTAACCCAGTCTAGAATATCTAGCTCATTTGTTTGTATTAAGAGGGTTTTGTTGTTTTGTCTTTAATTGCACTTCCCCCTCCTCGCCACTCCCCGTCTTTAGAATGAAAGGGTGAAATGCCCACCCCCTGGAACTCCATTCAATCTATGGATTCCAGGGAAGCTGCACAGGGTGCAAGTAAACATGAACTCTGGCCCAGCTCTATGAAGAGCAGAATGAAGAACTAGCTCTGGGCAGCAACACTGGACATTTCAAAGGTTCTTTTTTAATACTAAATATGTATATTCTTTAAAAGTCAATGAATGTTTTTAAAATGGCAATGCACAGTTTTTAGGGTCTGCCCTATACAGCACACTTAACATTACAAAATGACTTCTGTATTGGCAGAGAACAAAACCATGTGTTATGCATGAATCCTGTTTCATTTTATATTAGTGTTCCGCATCCATCACTGTGAAGTGTATATTTTATATATATACACACAAACACACACACACACACCATATTCTCTATTTCCTATTCTGCAATTAAATGTACATATGAGGAAAAGGGACATAAAAAAATCTAAACTCCTTGAACCTGATTTTGCTCTCACTTACACTGCTATAAATCAGGAACAACTCCACTGAAGAAAGAGTTCCAATGGTGTAAAGAAAAAAGAAAAAAAGCAGACCCCTTATTTGCCCTACCTTACACACTTATAGAAGTTGTTAACACTTACCTTACTCTTATATTTTTGATCTCCCAGTTTTAACAGGACAAAAATCTGTGTCATGCCCCCTCCTGGGATATTCTTCCCTTCCAATAAAGTGATCGTCACAATTCCATTCCATATTTCATTCTTTCGCATGGATTCAGAGAGTCGCACATTTCGTATGAAACTTGACTGAAAAACAAGTTGACTTCATAAAGACACTATTGGATACATCTCTTAGGTACTTATATGGCCTTCCTTACTCCAAGTACCACAACCTCTACTGCATCTTCACATCACCTCTGGAGACGCAGAAGTACTATTATACCCCTTTTTATAGGTGGTGAGCGGAGACACAGACATACTAAGTGATTTGCCCAAGGTAACACAGGAAGTCTGGCAGGGATGGGAACTGACCATGAATTTCCTGATTCCCAGGCTGGTGCTCAAATCACCAGACCATGCTGCTTTCCCATTATGCACCTATAGCTCTTTGTTTGCTAGTCTTTAGTGTTTATGTTACCAGAATTTGAGCTTGTGAATCAAAAATACTGAGGCCCACTGAAACATGATGACTTTTATCTGGTGGTTATATGGCAATTACAACATATTTATTAACTTTATGATTTCATCATGTAGCGGCACATACCACTATAGAACTGGCAATATTTTATGGGCAGTGGAAATGACTAAATGGACCTTTTTGTGGGGGGGAGTAGCAGAGAGATCTGGAAACTTAAGGCTACACCTTTCTTCTCACTTTAAGTCATGCCATATTTTATTGCCATGCAACAATTTTAAACATGCCATGCTTCTGTGCTTCAATCATGACAGACTGGTGGGTCCAAAAGGGAGGAGGAGATTTCACTAGTCACATGAAAACAGGACGCGTTAGCTTTAAAAACAAGAAAGATATGGTGTTACTAAATAAAAAAAAAGATTTCAAGAGCACTTCAGGCCTGGGAATAACATTTTAAGGAAGAATTACCCAGTAACAAAATTCTTAAATCATGGGAGGCACATACACAAATTTTAACTTGCTTTTTACTGGTTAAAATACCCAAATGTTTGAATCCCACATGCATATTAATATACTTCTATTTAAACACACTGTTTGGCTTTCCTGGCACACTGGATGAAAATTCCTACCTTTAAAAAGAAAATGAGATTTTGATTCATAAATCCAGCTGCAGTGCAAATTTTTTTTAAGTTCATCTTGTAGGCCAAAAAGCTAAAGCATGACTGTTCCCATGGACATACTTCAAAGTCCCGGCAGATATATTCCTCCCTAAACACTGCAACTATTTCAAAATCCTTTTTATAAAAAAGGGAGTAATGTCCACAAGGGATCAAAGGGCATCCTACAGTCTGGCAATTGCCTAAGAAAAATGGCAGTGCTTCCATGAAATATGCCCTAAAATAATTTTGTGGCTTGGTATGTCCTAATTTTGAATTGGATGTTTATCTTGGAAAGGCTTCTATCTAACTTGTCCATAAAACAGCTCCACTTAGCTCTACGAGCCCTGTGAAAATGGAATCCAAAGCTGGCTATTAAAGGGGCCTAGAGATTGCTTCCATATGGCAGAACAGCATGGGAGTGGAGGGCTAAGGCCTACAGCAGGCACTGCTTGGCTTGAGCTCCCGATCTATCCATGGACACTCGTTGCATTACACTATAACATCTGGATTATTGCTTGTAATGTCCCTGGGAAATATCCACTTCCCATCAAAGCCTTTATCTATCTCAGTCGTACTTTGAACATTTTAGTATTTAACACAGTCATGTTTGATGTGATGTACTTGCTGCTTTAGGTCCAAGGATTTTCCCTCCCTTCCTTGGAGGAGGAATATGTTTTTGAAGCTAGTTCACAAAAAACAGACAGAGTAACTTTATTATCCACAGTACATTTTTTTTTAAACTGAAATCTCCACTTAGCTAGAGTCTCCAGGCTCAGCAACAAAGAAAGTTATCATCATGTAATTTTAAAATCAAATTTGGTGATCCGTCTCATAGGGATCCTTTCTGGTTTTGATCAGTCTAGTGTTTTATGGTAGCAATCCAGGTCTATGGTCCTCCTAACCAGTAGGTAAGTCCTCAGGGCAACATTCAATACAGTGCAAAGGGCTACATAAGGCCACCTGCATGACTTCGTAAGGACTAAATTTTGGCTTTGCCAACAGCCCTGAGTAAGAGTAGGAGGCTTGAACAGTCAAAATCTGCTTCTTGGCTTGTTCCAACTCTGCTCAATCCCTGTCCATCTGCGGGGGAGGGGAGGGGAGAGAGGGAGAAACAGCTCTCAGGAGCTGCTCTACCCACCACAATGCAGGTGGCTGGCACATGGGGCCTACTCCTCTGTGGGAATGTTTGGACCAGACCATGGGTCATTTCCATGGGTTTAAAGTGTTGGAGAGGACAGTTTGCACTGAGGCAAATGTCACCCAAGGTAAGAAGGGGCAGATATTTTATTATTCATTTTTAAATCAAAATGATTTCATTATAATTCTTCTCTCATGCTTGTCGCCTATGCGATTTACACAGTGTTAATTAATTAAGCCTTGCATCACCCCCATGAGGTCGGCAAATATTAGCTCCACTTTATAGATGGGTAAAGAGAAATTAAGTGACGTGCTCACAATCTCAAAGCCAGTCAGTGGCAGAGCTGGTAAGGAACACAACTCAGGCGCCCTCACTTCTAGACGCTCCTCCAATCACTACTAGGTTACACTGCCTCCCCGGAGAGGGCACAGTGCTTGTGGGGAAGGGTCAAAGCCTTTCTGTATGCTGGTGAGCAATAAAAAAGAAACCATCATACATTTATTTAAATTATACAGTGAGGTGGACAAGCGTAAAATGAACCCGTCTTTCGCCTCCTGTACTTAAAAGGATGAGACAGGACAACAGAAAGTGTTCGAATTCCTGTGAATAGGTCAAAGTAGAAATTGGAACCACTGTAATTTGCAAAATAAACAAACAAGTTTCCGGACCTCTACTCATTAGGCAGGGAAACCGCTATGCAGAGGCAGTTTCCCTCTGGGAAAGAGGAGCGGAGGATTAGAAAGGCAATTGAACTGACGGGAGATTGCTGTGATGGCACGTGACCCTTTGGCAACTGAGTTCTATGGCTCTGTGAAACGTTCGAAGATCACAGAGGCACCACTGCCCACAGGGTATTGCTATAGAGAGCCAAATGCAATGAGGCAGGCAAACCCACACATGAAAAGGAGGGTGAAGGATTATCCCCTGTGATAAGAGGAGTGGGAGCACTTCAGTCCAGAGTCATCCTTTTCAGCCAATTTATTCAATCAGCTTTAGATATCAAGGTGGCAATTGAATCACTTGTTTTAGGAATAAACTGCTGCAGGTCAATCCCCCTCCACCCCCAAGCAAACCCATTTGTTTGCTTCCTAGATGTTCAACACTTAAAGGTTATTCATCCGTACAAAGGATGGAAATTACATGCAGGACACCCTCGGTGCAAGAGTCTAGCCACCTGGGACAAACAAGGCTACTAAGCATCAGACGTAGTGTTCCCCTATGCCCCAGAATATCTCTATAGGCTAAGAAGCCTGGAAAAAGAGGAAGGGAAGGGGGCACTTCATCTTGTTTTTCTTACAGATGGACAGAGTATGGTGAATACTTCCTAAAAACAAAGGGGCCATGCTTCCTTCTGCAGCGCCATTTACCGTTTGATGAGCAAAGAAGCAAATTACACTCTGGAGTTAGCTATATCAAAAAACAATGCTATCCCACACTCCCATCCTAAGCAAGGGGCTCCAAATGTGGTGTACATATCTTGCTACCTTTGGGTATGTAATCATGCCCAAAAAACTTGCTTTATGTGACACACACCCCCTCTAAGAGCAGTGATAAATATATGCTGACAAATATACAAGCCACCCAGTTCGATACCTCTTGCACCATACTGATTTCATATGCAATATTCAGTATCTGAAATCATCTCTGCATCCTACCCATAGCCAATGCTTGCATGATTTTTATTGTCTTCTATTTTCTGTATTAAAAAAGTTATATCTGATTTTTCTTAAAGAAGATAGGGAGTTGGAAGGACAGTAAATAAAAAGTATTCAACAACAGGTTTAACTTATATTTTTTCCACTCTGCACATGGGACTGCAACAGTTATTGGTACCAGTGTGGAGGCATTGCTCCATTGGGGATATTACTGAGTCCCTGCAAGGTGGACTGGTGACTAAAGTAATAGTAATAAGAAGATTCATTTGTGACCTTGGTATCTGCTATCCAGTCTAAGATAAAACTTAGGGGATCAGATCCAGTTATAAGCCATAATTGTCTCAGATATATAGAGAGTTGAGAAATCAAAGGCTAAAAAATGTAACTTGTTTTTCTTTTTAAGTCCTTCTACCCACATATGAAAATACTGCATAACAACAGGATCTGAAAATTACAATAAAATCCCACTTTAATTCATCTTGAGAAGAAGTTAAGCTACCCCTAATATAAAACATTTCCTTTCCTGATCATGTTAGAGATGTAGATTTCTGAGACACATTTAATTTAATCAGTGCGATGCAGATTTATCAGGAACCAAGTTGCACAAATGGATTGTATATGGAGTTTTTCTTCCTTGAACAGCAACCAAAGTGTAATAGCCAAAACAACAGTGCTAAGTTTGTGTATCCATTATATAATGTCCCCCCCCCATATTTCTGGTATCTTTATCCAGTCCGTCTGCATTTCTTCTACCTCATCACACTCCTCTGGCCATTTTTCCATAACCTCTCATGCCTTCCCTAGACATCTATATTCCCTGTGCTCACAATTTTTCTTTCTAGCCTTTATGTTCTGCCACAAACTGCCAGTACTGTTTCCACAGACCAGAGTTTCCTAACTAAAGATGGTTATTGATGGACAGTACTAGTGTTTTAATGCAGTAGCAGAATCAATAAACTAGGAAATATTGCTTTGTCAGATTTTTTCCAGCACATTCTGGGAAATTCTTTACTGCCTTGGATGGCCACAGAAGCTTTTCTTAAGAGATCACACTAGAGCATGAACTATGTCTCCTCTGTGAAGAACTGAAGCTCTCTTACCCTCTAGTGGCTATAACTGAATAGAGCAAAGGGTTGCAGCTATTTTTTCTTTCAACAATAATCTTGCATCCACTAATCCAATATCATGCTTTGGCATCTCTTAATTTTATTTAAAACGATGTTAAGATGTTAGCTGGAGCCTGGGGAACTGAATGACCTGCCAGCATGAATTAAAGCTTTATCTCTGTTATTTCAAATCAAGTGTTTAAAATACAGAGCGAGAATGTACAACAAAGAAAAAGAGCAAGACGGAACTTTGGCTGTTTTGGACTGAAAGGAATAGAGTTGGAATATCTGGCTCCCTGTCCTGGGACTCCAAGCCAGCGAGATTCGAGTGACAGCTGTGTGTGCGCACACATGGCAGAAAGAGAGATCAAGCCACATTTGATCAAGTGTGGGCACTAGTAATTTCAGGGGCTTTAGTTAAAAACTAAACTGCTGAGCTCTGCAATTATTGCATCACTCTCTATCATATTCCATTTAGCAATTTCTTGCTGTATCTCTGCAGTATGAATATAGCTGTAGAGGGCCAGCATTATCCCTGGAACTGTTTGGTTAAGCCAAAATAACTGCAGACCTGTGCCCAGAATGTACATTACATGTCCTCTTTACAGAAGTATTTTTGGTGGCATTTTACAGAACAAATATAAAGCCAGTCTCTTTCCTGAATAGCTTACAAATCCAATATAGGCATGATGCAATAAGTGGGTGCAAAAGAAAAATGGCCCAAAGGGAAGACATTCATGTGGATACCCAGTAATGGTACATGCACATCTTGATGGCACTATTCTATTTCTAGCAGCCAAAATACCTGTTCATTCCACCAGGGGAAACTCTCAACAGAAGGATCTGAGGAAATCTCTGCTCAAGAACAGAGGCAGCATGGTACAATGTATAGGACACTGGACAGAGTCAGGAGACCTGGGTTATATTCCCAGCTATGCCACTGTTCTGCTGTGTGACCTTGGGCAAGTCCATTCATCTCTCTGTCTCCTCCTCCTTGTCAATTTACCCTGTAAGCTCTTCTGGTTAGGGACTGTTCCTTACAATGTGTGTGTACAATGGGCACCAAGCACGCTGGGAGTCTCCAGTTGCCGCTATAATACAAACAACAATAAGAGGTCCAACATTTCTCACTCAACCGTCAGACTGAGAAAGGAATGAGAATCATGGTCCAGAGTGCCTGACAGTCTGCATCTCTGCTAAGAGTTTTCAAACTAGTTACAGAAAACCACCTCGGATAGATGGTGTGGAATCCTGGGTTGTTCAAGGACTATTCATCCACAAACAGAATACCGGAGGAGCGTACAAAATGCGCTAGCATGGTTGCGAACCTCCAGTAATGGAGATGCTACGTAAGAAGAAAAACAAATTTCTTGTGGGAGAAAGGGAACAAGAGATTTACAGAGAAAAGGGATATGGGTTACCTTGGATGAAGTTTGTTTCTTCCGATTTGACCATTTCTATTCATGCGTTTCCACCATTGCAACAGAGAGAATCCAAAAGCAAAGGGAGGAAAACAGGTAAAGTGGTTAGTCAAATAATCTGAACACTGGTTTATAAACTGTGCTAGGGAAGGCATATTACTAGCACAGAGTTGGCTCTACTACTGCATTCAACTAAACTACCTCCCTCGCAGACAACAAACAACAAAACAGAACACCTGCATTGCACCAGAAATAAAAGGAAACAAAGCATCAAGAATAAAAAGTGGAAGAGACCCTGAGCCATTGGTAAGATGCATGGCTCAAACTTTTGGTGCCATCTGGTCCTACTAAGCTAATTTAAAAAGGCGGGGGTGGAATCAGCTTGCTGTTAAGTGCATAGCATGGACAAGACCATTTTGCTCTTCTGATTCTATTGAAAATGGCTGAGCTATTTTCATTTGAAACACAAGTGCCTAAAATATGGTCAGTGAAATTTTCACAGCATGCACCCACTCTTTAGGCATCTGCACTCTGAATATTAACCACACACCCAGGCATTCCCAAGGCTGCTGCCCAGAACTAATGCTGCCCCCTCTCTTATCCCAGAATCCCCAGGGCCACTCTGACCCACATTTCCTTAATGCTGCCAGAGGAACTGTTCCCTAAGTCAGAAGAAATGCCTCCAGCAGCTCTCATGTGGACTGTGCACCTGTCTTGCCCCTTACTACACACAGTGACCTGGATGCCATCCCATGCCTTGCATATTAAGTTAATGAGGGAGTTGACATCCCAGCCAAATGGGCTTGCACTAGTAAGAACAGCCAAAATTTCAAGGGAAGTTTATTAGAGGACTTTGACATAGAGAGAGTGTCTCATTAATGACTAAGGAAAGGTCAGACCATTAACGGCCATGCTCGCAACATTTCTTGCTTTCTTACCTTTAAGATCAGGCAAGTCATTCCCTCCCTATTTGTATAGGAAAAGCTACCTTCTTTCAGCATATATAATGCTAGGTGAGATAAGCACAACACAAATAAGTGTTCTGGAATTTTTATTATCATTATTTGGTTGCTGCTGAAATTTTTAAATAATCATATGCAGAGGGAGAAATATCAAAAACTTTCCAACAGTGCACTATTAAATTACCTAATACATTAACAACTCTTAAAAACAGGCAGCTACTAGGAAGAAACAATAATGAAAGGCACACCTTTCTTGTGAAGTCTATTTTCTATATTCTCCACCCCAACCTGTCTTTTGGTAACATTCTCACTTTCATAAATATCCCATACCTACTATGAATTCCCACATGTCTAGTTTAACAGTCTCAGTAGGCTGCAGTGTTCACATTGGATTCTGAAAAATTGAAACTGTTATATTTAATATTCACAGAAACACTTCCCATTTTTTTACCGGCAAAACTTATTAGTTACATATTTAAAACTGGACTTGCCTGAAAATTGGATCTATTCAAATGATATACTGTGGATTTTTTCTCGCTGTCAACCTGTTCTCTAAATGACTGCAAGATGAAGTTACAGATTTAGGCCTGGGCCATGTTTTGTGTGAAACACAAATGGTGATATTTAAAAAAAAAAAAATAGTCACACAAACCCTGATCCTGAAAGCCCTTATTCCCTTTAACCACACTCTCTGCAGCCTCTGCCCAACTCCTTCTGGGTTTCTATCACCCCTTTCAACACTGGAGTCCCACGGCACTTCTGCAACAGAAGCCTGATCCAAAGCTCACTGAAGAATCTGGTGAGGTTTAAGACTGTGCCTGGCCTGTTCTCAGTTTTGCAAGAACATAGCTCCTTCAGTCATTTCCCTCCTCTCAGCAATATGCACCAATGCAGGGCAGGCACAACCTAGTCTTAATAGTAAATCCTTGCTTTTACATTTCACACTGATATATATATTTTTAACTGGTATGGAAAAAAAATCACATCTAATTGGAGGTTTAACACCTTTTTAAAAATTCATAAAATCTAAACTCCTTGCTTATAGTGAGAAAACGGCATGTCCTGAAAGAGCAGTCCTGCAAGCTGTAGGGCATACACTTTTAGAGATATCTCACACACATACGCACAGACCTATCACTCGTTGAAATATATGGAGACTTGCTATTCGTGGGCTCACTGTTTAAAGCCACAGAACGGAAGCACTTGGCGATAGAAGCATAAGCAACTTTTATCCAGTCCAGTGTGGTTGATTTTTAAATCATGAACTACCAAGTTTTCAATGCTGAGTCTCAGAGGATGAAAATAAAGGTGGCATTTCCCAGTATAGAGTAAATCAGATTAGGGAAGCTTTCTTTTTTTGCGCATTCCAGCTATAAATTTGATTTCCTAAGCCACTTACAGTTCTCTTGAAGTCTCCTTGCTTGACTGTTAGACTCAAGTTTAACACAATCTCTCCCATGTCATCTTCTAAACTGTTTGGATCTTCCAATTTTAAAATCTGTTCAGTAGTTCTGTAAGCAGAAAAGAAATGCATCTGTAGGCTCCATTTTAGCTTCTGGTTCCTTATTAAAGGTCAACTGAATTGTGCAAATTCTGTTTTTTTTTTATGGCTGATATTTAGCACATTTTAAAGTTTTCAAAATTGAGTCTAAATATTAAAATGTGCAATCTGGCGTATTTCTTTGTGGCATATATTCCCCCTCACAGCTCCCACAAAACATACAACTTTCAGCAGAGCAACTTTAAATAATACTTTGTATTTCCATAGCAATTAATTAATACTGATAACCCACCACCTGCAGACAGGCAGAAAACTGATCAATGTTATCCCCATTTTACAGGAAAGGAAACTGACAATGACTTATCCAGCTGAATTGTCTGACAGTTAAAGGCTGGACATTGACTTGTGAGATCTGTGTTCAGTTCCTAGATCTGATGCAGACTTCCTGCATCACCTTGGACAAATCATTTAATCTCTCTCTGCGTTAGTTCCCCCTCTGAAAATGGAGATGATACTATTTCCCTACCTCACAGAGGTGTTGTGCAAATAAATTCATTAATGTTTGTAAGCCACTCAGATAGTATAGCCATGGGGCCCATAATGCAAGAAAATGCACTTGCCCAAGATATCAGGAAGTAAGTATAAGAGCCAGGAATAAACCATGAATTCCTGTCTCCCAGCTCCACATTCAGACTGACAACCCACAGATAAAAGATTAAGCTGCTGCAAAAGTGTTGTGATCATTTCTAAACTAAACAGCAAGAACACATTTTAATAAATTCATATAGTACCTGTTGAGCTCAAGGTTGCTCAGCCCCACAAATGCAGATCCCATGAAGTCAGAGGAGGCTAAGTCTCGATCATATACCTGGTAGCAAAATAAATGCATATCATTTTCACAGCCTAAGCCAGTTTTGCCACATCAGAAAAAAGAACTGACATTTTGAGTCTCATTCCATATTTTGGGAATCAAAGCCTATATGTTGTTCAGGGATAATTCTCCATTTCCGTTCTTTAATGTAGATTTTAATTGAATATTTTAACAGCATTTTGAAATGCCTTCTTGACATATGGTGAACAGAGTCATGTATGCAACAATGGATTGGGACCATTCCTACATATCTGGTAGTATAGTACAATTGAATATTGTACACAACCAGGCAGTTTTTTAGCTACAGATGTTTTAGCAATTAGTGCTTACAACTGGTAGCTTGCAGCTCTGTTAACTATAAAGTTACCTCATAATGAGAAAGAGCTTTGCTGCTTGTCACCACTACCTCACAGGTAATAATTTTACTCAACTCAGTTCACCAAATTACACTCTTAAATTATTTCAGGTAAACCCCATTGATTTCACTGAGGTTGCACAGATGTAATTGAGGGCAGAGTTTGGCACAGTAGGTTTAAACGCCTCCAGTCAAACAGATTATTTTGATTTGGGGCATTCACACACTGAAAACACAACATCCAAGTAAAATCTGGCAAAGAGGCATGTGCATTTGAATATAAAGCTTAGAAAACTTTGGATCCTAATTCTGTTTTGAATACACGTTCTCTGTGTCAAACCATCAAATTGAACACACACACACACACACACACACACACAGAAAACAATTGGTTCAGAGGAGCTTTTTCCATTGTTTCAGAACCCCACACCAAAAATTTACCTTGACCCGGAGCTTCTGATCAAGAGTCTGTATTGGCAACACAACAGTTTCATCCCAAACTGGATTTAGGTTTTTGTAGATGACCTTACTTTTGTATAGAGTTTTTCCATTCAATTTAAATTTCACATATGGATCACTTGTACCTATTATAAACAATAACAATACAAATGGGATTAGTCTGGAAAACCCTCCAACACTACCAACCACAAAAAATTAACAAATAATTGAGAATAAAAAGCTCAGAGATTCTGCTGAACATGGCTAGAAAGTGATTTGATGTGGAGAAGAAAAAAAAGAATTCTACATTGTGCTTGTGCTCTCTGCCATGTCGTCTTGGAAGAGCCTTGGTTATTCTTATCTCTTCTTCCCCCCCCCCCTTTTTTTTGCGAGAAGTAACAAACAAAAGCAAGGATGAATCTATATAAAATAAAGACAAACAATAAAGACACAGAATTACAAATAAAATGGGATACACAAAAAGGCCTGTAGATTTGATCAATATCACTTATAGAAAATCTTACTGGATTCAATATGAATATAATTATGTTTGGCGGGTTTTTGAAACTAACCAACACAATGTAATAGAGGATTGTATCGCTGCGAAAAAAATTCTATAGACTCATTCAAAAGAACTATAGGAGGGCTCTTATTCATTACTAATTTCTATAGGATTTTAGAGTAATTTTTATAGAACGCTATTCAGTTCTGTAGGTCTTCTTCATAAGGGGTGGCTTGATAAGTAGTATGACAACATTTTGATGAAAGACAAAATATCCCCCAATTAATCTATTTTCAAATACAACCTACAGAAAGCTCTTTTCTTACACAATGATAGCAGATTTTTTTGTCTTCTTTTTTGGCAGTGAGAGGGAGGGACAGACAATGTTGCACAGGGGCTAAAAGGAAATTTGTTTTCCTGGTCCTCCAAGAGACCCATAGTTAGGCCGGCCTCAAAACCCCCTGAAGTCAATGGGAGTTTTTCCATTGCCTACAGTGGGTTTAGATCATGCCCTTGGTTATAATTAGAAATATTATGTATATTTACTTCCTAAGTACACAGGTAGAAAAGAAATATTGAACAAAAGCATGCACTTTGCACGGACAGGACTACACAGATAATACCCAGCATAAAATATGTCCAACAACCTTCAGAGGATGCATTAGTTAGGAAATTAGATAAATTAACAAAAGGCTACACCAAATAGTCCTATCTATCTTGAATATTCCAATTCCCCTCTCCTGGAAGGAAAAAAAAAAGAAGAGAGACTGCCTTTATCTATTGGATAAGCAGAAGCACCCTGCATTATAAGAAAGAAAGAAAGAAAGAAAGAAAGAAAGAAAGAAAGAAAGAAAGAAAGAAAGAAAGAAAGAAAGAAAGTCCCCCAACTATTCACTACACCAACGAGTTAGTATCAAGACTAGACAAGGGAAGGAACTGATGGAATGAAAACATGAATAGAGCAATGGAAGCAGGTGGTCTACAGCTATAACTCATCTGTTTCTTAAATAGAAAAGAAACTTTGAGTGAAGGGGACCTTTCAAAAATAAAAATAAATAAGCAAACAACCAAATATCTAGTTTCTGCAAGAATAAAAAACAAAACATAACCAGCCTCTTTTTTTGGGAAAAACAAGCTCCATAGCTAAGCAAGTGTTCTGTTTGCATTATTACACAGAAATGTTTCAAGGCTGTTGAATGACCTTACTTTGAATGACCAGTCCTTCCCCACACACCCCTTTTTACTGTACAACAGCACTGTTCAAGTGAGTCAGGCTTTAACAATCATTCTGATACACACACACACACACATATATATATATATAAACAGTGGGAAAAAACTATAATAAAAAGAGGCCTTTAATTAAATAAGATTGCCACTCTGGGATCAAGCCTTCATGCTTGTCAGCTTACTCTCAAAATAAACATCTCAAAAGCAGGCCCAGTGGTGTCACTTACTAAGGCAAGGCATACTGGGTAATCCCTAGGTATCTTGACAGCTACATAATGTTCAAACTCTTTCATGGGTGAATGGCAGCACTTGCGTGAAAGAAAATATTAATGTCTGGAATTAATAAAGAAAAGGGATGATGGTTTACAAAGCCAAACAAGAAAAGAGTGTCAAGTTAGTAGAGTGTTAATTGTTACGGAAAATAATTGAGGGAGAGCACGGAAGAGAAACATGCTGCGATTTGCTAGCTGAGCACAACTGTCTTACTGTCAGGAACGTAACATCTCAACTAGGTAAGCAGGAAAAAAAGGGGTCGGCTGCTCAAGAATGCAACTCTGAGATTGACAAATGATGAGATGACGTCTCACTGTCAGCCAACAGATGGACTTTAACCTTTGCATCGGGAGCTTCACAAACAATGCAGCTCTATGGTATTTATTCTGAAGGAACCAAACAGCAGGAACATAAAACCTTTTCTGGCAATGGCACCGGATTAGAAATGGAGCAGAACAAAACACTAAACCATAACCCTTTTTCAGTAAGGGGTGGTGGGGAGGAATACACAACTAATTTGTTTAGCTCTAATGAAGCTTCGGGGTCTCCTTTTCAGTGTCTTGTTCTCTTTTTCTTAGGATTTGTCTCCATGGGGACACAGGAAAATTAATCTGAATTAACTAAAGGTGTGCATTTAAATTGGATTAGTTAAACTGCATTAAATCCCTGTGTAGACACACTCATTCAGAATTCAAGTGGATTTAATTCAGTTCCAAACTGGGTAAGAGCATGGCTCCAGATTTTGAAATTTATTTTCAATAAGTTGGAAAATGACAGAAAAATGCTCAATGACCTAGAACAGGGGTTGGCAACCTTTGGCACGCGGATCGCCAGGGTAAGCACCCTGACGGGCCAGGCCGGTTTGTTTACCTGCGGCATCCGCAGGTTCGGCCGATCGTGGCTCCC